GGGGGGGGGGGGGGAGAGATTGTGATCATCCTGTCCTAGGACTGCATAAAACTGCTGGAGCTGTGGAAGGGGGAGGGAAATCTCTCTGGCAGTGATCATCTGGCCCCAGGGGTTTCACATACCCCCAGGGAAGGGAGATCACAAATCTCCCTATCTTAGGGGTGCGTGAGGTGCCACTACAGCTGAGAGCCCCTCAAATGGGGTGCATGGGGCTCCCAGCCACAGGAGCTTGCTTCTCGCCTGCAATAAGGTGCAATGGGATCTACTGCATAATCCCACAATCACACCCCCGCCATGCATGTGGCATGACAGAAGGCGCGATTGTGTGAATTGTGCATTAAATTCTATTGCACCTTTACATATAGGTGTAGAAGGAGCCTTAAATACAGAACAACAGTGTATATTCCAAGTAGGCTGAATCAACTGGAAACAGAAAACCACAACAAGATAGCGAAGAAAAGGAAGCAGATGTAATTGCTTCTGACACACCCGACGTGGCCATTATATGCTTCTGTTTTGCACAACTATGTCAAAACTTCAAGTCACTAGAAAATTAAAATTCGGTCTGCACTCTAGAGCTAAAGGACATCTGTAAGACCTCATGGAAGAGACAAGCTGGTATCACCTGATTATCTGAAAACTTATTCACTGCTAACAGGTCTTTGAAATGGTAAAAACATCAAGAAGCTTGTTGTAAGAATGAAAGGAAGTTCCTAGAAGTAATACAAACAGAAGATAAATGACAAGCTATTTTTTCCATGAAAGCAATTCTCTTCAAGCTTGAAACCAAGTATTATTCTTGAGAATTCATTCTAATAATCCCTTCAATACAACCCTATTTTTCCATAGTACTTAAGCCAAAAGCAGTTACCCTCCCCACCAAGAATAAAGCACTAAGACAACCAGAGGCAGACCAATAGTACATTCTCTGCATAGTGAGGGACACTCCATTTTCATTAGCAACCCTTCCTTCTATCAGTTTACAGCAAGAGTACAACTGCAGCTTTTAGGAGCCAACAAGATTGGGTAAGTGCTACCTTCCCCTTGACCTTTCAGAGAACAGGAAGCTACCCATGGAAGAATACCAGAAAAATGCTCTGTAAGGGCTTTGGGATCTCCTTGGTAGGCTAGAAGACAAGACAATTAACTACCAGCTGGGAAGGCAAGAGCTAGCTTCAGAAGTGAGTCCATCCTCCACTGCTGAAAGTGAACTAGAGGGATGCAAATTATTTAATGAGCTTAAATCTAGGATGAAATGTCACACAAGCCAACTGCAGAAGAGTGCATGGTTAGTACGAGGTAAGTGGACAGGGAGGGAGGCAATGGAAGTGCTCAAGTTCCAGTGCTCGGGGGAAGGGGAGGATGCAGATATGGTTGTGGAAACAAGAGGGGCCAAGAGGTGGCAAGTACACACTGAGTTGGAGTGAAGACAAAGAGCACATGCACATGCAAATAAAAAGTGAAGGGAGCAGCTACATCATTGCCCTTGTACAGGCTTAAAAAGTATCAAGGTTTACACACTGCATAAGAGCACACATTCCCATTTTTCCTCTGATCTCCTCTCCTGTGATGTGCTACATTAAAAACCCTATAGAAAAACCCCTACATAAAAACAGGCTCGTTAGTTCATTCTCAATTTATCAAGGAAGGAAAAAAGCCAAAAAGACTCTGCGCAAAGCAAATCAGACTTGGATAATAAAATGGGTTTAAAGACATAAATATTCAGAAGAGCCAAGTTTAGCTAACCACTGTAAGTGTCACAGTATCCATCAGCAAGTTGTTTTTATATTTAAAATCTAAGTCATGAAAAGATCTCAATTTTCCTCCACATTTGCTTGTTAATACTTGCAAGAGCAAACCCAGGGAGAGGGAATCAGGTCTCCATCAAAACAGTACTGCTTCTGGGTAAGGCTTCACACACACAAACTGGTGCTTGAGTTTGCATTGTCACTGACTGTGATATAACTCTTCTGTGGACAGAAAGGACCTCCTTCTCCAGATCTGTCAATCTGGTACTTCTTGCAGGCAATAAATTCCCTTTTTCTCACCATACAACTGAAACTCTGAATCTGTAATTGGGAACACCTGCTGTACAATCTGACCAGTGACAAATCACCACTGAATCATTTTACAGTATTCAAAAATGTCCTTAAGGGGTATGATTTATTTTTTCCTTCTAGACCAGAATGAGAGAATATTTATTTTAAAGGCTGCAAAGCAAAATGTTATTCTCCATTTGATGGCAACAGAAAATCATCTTACATAAAGTAAGAGGAAATTCTTAGAAATTGGTTTGGATTTTTCTGGCAAAAAACTGATGAAGTGAATGTTAATGCAATATGTTCTGTACTCATGAAGACAGACTCTCAGAGGTAAAATTCTCATTATGTAATCTTTATAAATCTCTTTTTTTAACCACATAAAGCTTTTCATTACATACAGCAAAATGAAAAGATTAACACCCACTCACCTCTGAAATGCAAGAAGAGCCTTTCTCTGCAGGACCTCTTGTATACCTCGCAAAGATGCTAAAAAGGATATATTTAATCAGCATTACTTAAGATTCAAAGATTTGGTTCCACACATTTATCTGACAAAGTCTAACATATCAATAGATTAGGACAAAAATAACACATAGCACATAGAACACAAAGGGCTGTTACGCTTCTGCAGATTTACTTGTGACAAGAATTTCTCATCTGTGAAACTCGTTTTCTTACCATCAGTGGCTTGCAAGCTGTAAGTCAGTCCTAAGGCCAAGTAGCCTTTTGCTTTGAACTCTGAGGTTTTGTCTCCAAGATCAACAACTGTTTTGGCAAATCTTTCTGCTTCTTCCAACTGAAACCATTACAAAAATGAACAAGAAAGTCTTATAAAGATTTCTACTTCCAAAAACTCCACACAATTCCATAAATACAAAACAGGGAGTATGTGTTCTTAGACAAAGCTAAGAAGCCTGACTACCTTTTTTTTTTTTTTTTTTT